AGCTGTTCCAGGCTGCAGGGATTTCCACAGACCATCGCCATCTCTATGCCTCGTGTTTTTGGCTACATTCGGTGTATAAGATGCAGCCAAATTTTCACCGTCTTTTAGGGGAGAAAGAAGTATGTCTTATACTCTGAGAAATACGGTATATCAGGAAAGGTTAGAGGTAAAAAGAAACTAGGACATCAAAGAACATGCTGGTTGGACACCATCAAAGCAGAGCATAGAAAAATTCAAAGAAGTAGTGCAAGATTGGGAGACGTGAAGAGACCTGGCCCATAGAATTGCCAAGAATCAAACATGACTGAATGGATAACATCAGCATTATAGGTTCGAGTTAGCTTCAGTTCTCCTGGCATTTCATTTCTGATTTTTTGGAAAGCCCAGGTTTCGTTCATCTCCCAGGAGTTTTAGAATAGCTGATAGCCAACCTTCTTATTTATTTATTTTATTTATTTGTTCAACTTGTATGCCACCTTTCTCTGAAGACTCAAGGCGGCTTACAATGCATTTAAAAACCACATGTAAAAACATTAAAAATTAAAACATTAAAAACAATTAAAACCCATTCACACCATTCATGGCCAGATCTCGCCAGACCGCAACAGCGAGATCAACGGCCCCAGGCCTGCCAGAAAAGCCAGGTCTTCACCGCTTTTCGGAAGGCCAATAGGGTAGGGATGGTCCGGATCTCAGGAGGTAACTGGTTCCAGAGAGCTGGGGCAGCCACAGAGAAGGCCCTCCCCCACGGACCCACCAGCACTGTTAGTTGACGGGACCTGGAGGAGACCAACTCTGTGGGATCTTACTGGTCGCTGGGAGCTATGCGGTAGAAGGCGGTCTCGAAGATAACCTGGCCCTGAGCCATGTAGGGCTTTAAAGGTAATAACCAACACATTGAATTGCGACCAGAGATCAATAGGGAGCCAGTGCAGCTCGTGGAGAATTGGTGTAATGTTTATCTCATTTGCTTATCTCATTTGCACAACAGCAAGGCTGTGAAGTTAATTATGCTAACTCAGTGCATGAATAGCCACATGAGTTTTCAGGGCTGAAGGAGGACTAAAAACTCACCCCTTTTAGTCCAGACCCTCCACTATTACACTTCGGTGGTTCTTAAGCTAAGAAAAAAAGATTGGAAAGTCATCAATGAGTTTGCATAGCTACAGTAAGGATAGTCTAAAATATGAGTCTTCCCAATCTTAGTCCAGGACCTTTACTGCCACATAGAATGGGCACCATGGTCCACTCGCTGCAAGCCAACTCACTATGGGACAATTCGACGATTCAATTTAATTATTTAAAATAATCTTAAAAAGTTATTTTATTTTTTGTTATTCACATTTCATTTGGTCCCTCCTTTTGAACCCTTTCTTTAATGCTTCTATTCTACCATTTCTTCGACATTAGAATTGGCCCCAGCAAATTGTCCTAGACCCACTGCTGCATCCACTGAGTTTGCTAATTTACAATGCATAATGATCAGTGGTGAAATGTAAAATTTGTTACTACTGGTTCTGTGGGCGTGGCTTGGTGGGGGGGGTAATGTGACTGGGTGGGCATGGCCAACTTTTTTTTTTTTTTTTACTTTTAAAAGCATTTTTTCCTACAACCTCTTCTGCCGAAAAGGTTGTAAAAAACATGGTTTTAAAAGGCTCTGCCGATCAGGCAACTCAGCTGGGATCGTCAGAGGCTTTAAAAAGCATTTTTTTACAACCTCTTCAGCCAAAGAGCTTGTAGAAAAAATGCTTTTAAAAGGTTCTGATGATCCCAGCTGAGCCGCACAATCATCAGAGGCTTTTTTTTTTTTACTTTTAAAAGCATTTTTTCTTCTGCCGAACACTCTGCTCCATTCAGTTGCCCCGACTCCACCCGGCAAGGGATTATGGAGTTGTTAATTGAGGTTGTATAGTGAAAAGTCACTAAGTGAAATCATGAGTGTGTCTATGATCTTACTTCAGCTTTACAGGCCTGGGAAGGTCGTAAATATAAGGAGTGATCACAATGTTACTTTTTCCTCACGAAATGTTCCTAATTAACTCAGTTGCTAAATGATTACCTGTATACCTGTATGTATTACCTGTATGCTCAAGAGCAGAAGACTGTCTTGGGTTCTGGAATGGCCAACTGAAATTCTTCAGATGACAGGCAAAAGAAGTTTTTTTAAAAAAAAAAGTCTAAAAGAACAAAGTTTGTTTTTTCATTTATTTGGCACACAAAAAGAACACAGAGGATTCACAAAATGCTCCCAGGGTCTTGACAGACCAATGAATGAATAATTCAGCCTTCTCATATTCAGTCAGAACCCTCCTCCCAAATTATTTCCTTTATTTCACTTTACTTCCTTTCCTTTCCTTTCTCTTTTGTGATGGACACAATAACCTAGATCTAAAGAAATAAAAGTAACATTAAAAGGGGATTTGATACAACCAGGGCTTAGCTTTGATTTAAGAGGGAGGTTTCTTCCAGTTGGCTTTACTTCCTTTCTTCTCTCTCTCTCTCTCCCTCCCCCCTCTCTCCTTCTCCCTCTCCCTCTTCTTTCCTCTCTACCCCCTCTCTCTCCTTCTCCCTCCTCCTCTCTCTCTCTCCCTCCTTCTCCCTCCTCTCTCCCCCTCTCTCTCCTTCTCCCTCTCCCTCCTCTCTCCCATTCTCTCCTTCTCCCTCTTCTCCCCTCTACCCTTCTCCCTCTCCCTCCTCTCTCCCATTCTCTCCTTCTCCCTCTTCCCCCCTCTACCCCTCTCTCTCTCCTTCTCCCTCTCCCTCCTTCTCTCTCTTCCCCCCTCTCCCTCTCCCCCCTCTATCTATCTATCTATCTATCTATCTATCTATCTATCTATCTATCTATCTATCTATCTATCTATCTATCTATCTATCTCTCTACCTACCTACCTACCTACCTACATACCTACCTACATACCTACCTATCATCTATCGATCTCTATCTCTGGCTAAAATCCTAACCAACACTTTAAAAGTTTGGCAACGTTTCAACAAGCTCTCTACCTTGTCATCTTCTGGCCTTTACTATCAATTTAGAAGTTGGGGGTCCTGCTTCATTATCCTAGCTGCAGCCTGACTGCATGTTAACGGCCCAGCTTTCTCTGGTTCCCTGTTACTAACTGTCAACTGCAAAGAGGTAAGAATTCTAGTAGGTATTACAGCACCACTGGTTGCCTGTTGAGATCTCAGCATATTTTCTGATTTGGTTTTTTCTCTCTCCCTATTGCTAGCTATCATCTGCAAAGAGGAAAGGATCACCACTGGTTGCCTGTTGGGATCTCTGCCTATCCTCTGATGTTAAAACTCGAGTTTCCCTCAGTGCAGGGATTTTAAGCATTTTAACTAACAGACTTTTAAATGAAGCGGGAAAACACCCGAGATTTTAACTTTTTACATACACACACCCACGAAAACTTATATATATATATATATATATATATATATCCCCCCCTCCCTCCCTCCCTCTCCCTCCCCCTAAGTTAAGTGTCACTTTGATATCTGGGAGGCTCAGTGAGTAAACAAATAAAAAATTCATTAGCAATAGGCAGCTTGAGGAAGATCAAAGGTTTTCCAATGTGAAAAATCACATTTCCAAGACTGAGATGGAAACCAGGGGGTTATTAGTGCAGTGTGGATCTGAGTAGATAAAAGAAAGCATCATCCCCCTGCAATTTTGCTGGAATTTACTAATATTTCAATCGCCATTGCCTTGGTATCACTTTCAAAGTGTCCAGCTGCCCCAGAGGCTGTTAAGGACTCCAAAACGGGAAAATTTGAACTTTCTGGGTCTAGTTCAGCTGGGTAGCATACTCCGATGACAGCTGTCTGCCAGGTTCCAAAGAGCAGTTTCTGTTCATCATCACTTTATTCTCAGGGGTCTTTTAAGTCTTTTGGAACTGCCTTGCAGGGTGCTTTTGAGCTAACTTAGTTGTGGTGAGTTGCAGTTGGGTATTGTTGTCAGTTATGGGTATCTACACATCACTTTGTAGTCTCTCTGAGTGGGAAAGAAATGAACTCCATAGAATTCTTTCCTGATGTCTTTTTATAGAGTATCGACCATACTATATAGTACTATAATATATAGGTTAGTATCAATCTTGTTAACCCTCAAGACTTCCCCCCCCACTATGTATTCTAAATGGTCCGTAATATCTATACCCATATCATCTATATCTGTCTGTCGATCTATCTATCTATCTATCTATCTATCTATCTACCTATCTATCTATCTATCTATCTATCTACCTACCTACCTACCTACCTACCTACCTACCTACCTATCATCTATCTATCTATCTCTGTCTCTTATCTCTTATCTCTCTTGTCTCTCTTGTCTGTCTGTCTATATCTACCTATCCATCTACCTATATCTCTCTCTCTTATCTTTATCTGTCTGTCTGTATATCTATCCATCTATCTCTCTTATCTCTCATCTGTCTATCTATCTATCTATCTATCTATCTATTCTCTCTATCATCTCTATCTCTTATCTCTCTTATCTGTCTGTCTGTATATCTATCTATCCATCCATCTATCGATCAATCTATCGATATATCTCTCTCTTATCTGTCTGTCTGTCTTATATCTATCTCTCTATCTCTCTTATCTCTCGTCTGTCTATCTATCTATCTATCTCATCTCTATCCATCCATCCATCCATCCATCCATCTATCTATCTATCTATCTATCTATCTATCTATCTATCTATCTATCTATCTATCATCTATGTATCATATCTATCTATCTATCTATCTATCTATCTATCTATCTATCTATCTATCTATCTATCTATCTATCTATCTATCTATCTATCTATCCCCCACACACAAACATATATTAATCACAGACCATTTAGAATACATAACAAAAAAAGAGTGTGTATATATATATATATATATATTTTGAGAACGGGCATCAGAATTTCATTTTATAATGTGTGCCAGTGTGTTTGCAGAACAAAGTGATAATAAAGGTTCTTTTATCTATTTTTTGAATTTAAGGGAAACTGCCCATTGATGGAGAAATGACAGTTGTACACTCATCTCTTGAACATCCGGACAGGGACCTTACCTGAAGACGTAGGGCGACAGCCAAGCTGAGATCTCAGGACAGCAATGTCAGGTCTGTCAACAACCAAACATTCTCCTTTCAAGGTCACGAAATGTGGGGCAGACCGTCCACTCAAACAAGGGAAGGGTGAGAAGCGGCAGCAATGGCTTTAAACCACAGTTAGGTACAGGAAGGAAACTTCCTGGATGCTGACAGAAAGCAATCCACTTTTCAAGCTGGCTTCTTTCTCATTTGCAATAAAGAACCTAACTCTCTAACTCTGCTGTGTTTGTGTCGGAGACACTTCTGCCAAGGCTTGAATCTAGCAGCCAAGATGAGCTGTGTGCGAAGTTGGAGGGAAATGGAGATTTACTGCTGAGTCCTGGGCTGGCAACCCTAACAGCGGAAAAATGTTCTCGCTCGTGAACCACTTTGAATTGGTGGTAATGAAACACAAGGTAATGTGAGGACCGTCCAAATTGAAAAGGTGCAATGCAGGATAAAATGGAGCCTCCGCAGCTGTGCGGGGCCTAATGAATATTTTAAGGAAATTAATCAATAGAAGTTCTGTATTAAAAATAACCTATTAGCAGGCACCTGCTGAAGACGGTTTTTCCCGCTAACCAATTGCGTGTCAATTTCTAAAATCCCATTCTTTCCCATTCATTTTTAATAAATACATTTAGACTTTAGCTCCTTTAGCATGTCCGTTTATTACTGTTTTGGTTTTTTTTTAATTTGATTGTAAATCGTGTTGAGATATTTTATGGGAGAGGATATATAAAAGTTTTAAATAACTAAATAAACAATGAACAATAAGGCTGAGTTTCTGACAACTCCCCTTTGGATTAGGAACAGGAAAGAAATCTATGTAATTATCATTGTAATAGAAATGGATACAATTTCTTTCCTCCCAAGCTTTACCCTATACAACGTGCCCCTTGTCTCCTCGATGTCAATACAGGTAGGTCCTCGAGTTATGACTACGATGGAGCCCAATGTTTTTGCTGCTAAGTGAGACACTTGTTCAGTGAGTTTGGCCCTGTTGTACGACCAGTCTTGCCATGGTTGTTAAGCGAATCACTGCAATTGTTAAGTGAGTAACGAGGTTGTTAAGTGAACCAGGCTTCCCCATTGACTGTGCTTGTCAGAAGGTCACAAAAGAGGATCACGTGACAACCCCCCCCTCGGGATACTGCGACCGTCATAAATCTGAGTCAGTTGCCAGTGTCCAAATTTTGATCACGTGACTGTGATCAACGGTCGTAAGTGTGAAAAATGGTCTTAAGTCCCTTTTTTCAGTGCCGTTGTAGCTTTCAATCTAGTGAAGAGAAGGACCAGGGGAGACATGATAGCAGTCTTCCAATATTTGAAGGGCTGCCACAGAGAGGAGGGGGTCAACCTATTTTCCAAAGCATCCGAAGGCCAGACAAGAAATCATAGATGGAAACTGAACAAGGAGAGATTCAACCTGGACATAAGGAGGAATTTTCTGACAGTGAAAACAATCAACCGATGGAACAGAAGTTGCCTTCAGAAGTTGTGGGAGCTTCATCCCTGGAGGCTTTCAAGAAGAGACTGGACTGCCCTCTGTCAGAAATGGTGTAGGGTCTCCTGCTTGGGTGGGGGGTTGGAGTAAATGACCTTCAGGGTTCCTTCCAACTCTGTTAATCTGTATCTGTATCTAATCTGTATCGAAATGGTCACTAAATGAGCTGTTGTAAATTGAGGACTACCTGTAATAAGACTCTGAGTATAACTTGGGATAACTCACTGCTTGCTCTCCTTGGGGGTAATGGCAACAGGCCCTTTGAGTTCCAGCTATTTGTGATATTCATTCCTTTCCATTCTTTGTGAAAAGATGGTGAATATAAGATAATATAAATCTTTAGCCCACAAAGTAAATATTTTTTTAAAAAAAAGATTAGAAAGAACACAACTCCGGACACACATTTTATTTACACCATTTCAGACTAAGCTTTTATTTTTAATATTACAAACCATTTGTTTTTCCTTTATTCACAAATCACTGTAGTGATATAAACACTAATTTCTAAAGACAGATATACACACTTGTCGGGTTTAAAGATCTGTAGTTGTTTTGAAGTCACAATATTCTACATATGGTATTAATCAGTTATTTTTAAAATCAGTATTCATATAATCAGTAATAATTTATATAACCAGAAAAAAAATTAACATTCCCTATATCAGACATACATTTGAATAAAATGAATGATTGGAGTGTTCTAAGTTTTTTTTTTTAAATTATTATTTTTATTTCCACAAAAATATTTTCCAACAGTGTGTGGCGACCTCATTTGTGTGCAAGAATAAACATCGGATTTACTTTATTTTTATTTTATTTTTTAAACGAAGGGTTGCACCAAATGAAACAGCCACTGTATTCAAACAAAAATGACACATTGACTTATCACTTAAACATCAGGAGGATTTTATGTGTTGAAAACTGAATTTCTGTAAGAAAATAAATATTTATTTCACAGTCATTTTTTGTTTTTGTTTTCTTTTTTTAAAAAAAAGGTGTTTCCGAGTGCATACAGACGTGCATTTTTTTTATTTTTATTTTCAAGCAATTGAATCACAATGGAATTATCCCCACTGCATTGTCCAGGATTGGAATAACAAATCCCCAACGTCTGGTAATCTGAGAATCTCTCTCTCTCTCTTTCTCTCTCTTTCTCTCTCTCTCTCTTTTTAAAATTAAGGAAAGCAGCTCTACAGGTTTGTAGCAGAAGTGCACAGCACTATTGGCTGGGAGATGTGAAATCACAAATTCTCCTACCCTGTATTATTATAGAGATTTCTAATGAAAAGAAGAAAAGAAAAGAACAAATGGACAAACTTTTGCTGCGTCGAAAAGGAGAAGGATGGAGAGAGGATCGTTCGGTATTCAAAGAGTTAGCTAAATAAATCTGGCTAAAGGCATTGTTGCAAAATTGGAAGAAAGCTGTCTCGCATCAGTGGAGACGAGGAAGCAAGAGTCCAGTTGAAAGGTACGTCTGTATGCACCCTCGGTTTCTGAACTCAGAAACTTTAATATCCTGTGCTAGATTTTCCCACGGTGTTTAAAAGTTCACGTGACAAAATGGCCCTTTCGATCCTAAACATTCATATTTCCTTCACTGAATGCCATGAAGGTGAAAGGAGAGCGTAGGGAAAAAAAAACACACCAACAACCTACATTTCTCTCTAAGAACTCAAGAGAAACTGAGAAAGAACATGGCGCTTCTCCATGACGCGCCCTAAAATTTTGCCCTTGTGGTTGGAGAAATTACATCAGAAGGGATAACTGAAGGAAATTCCCCCCAACGCAACCCTCCAATAATTCCTAATTTGCTGTCTCACAGCAAGGTTAGGATCAGTTCACAGAAGTCTCTCACAAACAGTATAGAAAGGGGTCTCTACAAATCAACAAAGCTACGTCTGAAGGGACGTCAACTATGCGTGTGAATTTGGATAGTTGGATCATTCTCTTCCTATAACTGAATACCATGTTTCCCCGAAAATAAGACCTGGTCTTATATTATTTTTTGTTCCAAAAGACACATTAGGGCTTATTTTCTGGTTAGGTCTTATTTTGGGGGGAAATACGGTACCTAAATGCACCCATCTCTCCAATCTTAATTGGAGGTTATTTTGGGGGGAGGGGTAGGGTTTATATTATGAGCATCCTGAAAAATCATGCTAGGACTTATTTTCCGGTTGGGTCTTATTTTCAGGGAAACAGGGTATTTGATTTGAACGATTTTTGATTTACTGGGACAGGGAAAGAATCTGAGATCGTAGCTGTGGAGAAGAAGGATGTGGAGAACACTTGGGTTTCTGATTGATGCCTGAATTTCCAAAATCTATCATCTCAGGAATAAAACACGGCCAGTTAAAAGTCCTCATCCTATCTTTGCTGAAGATAATAGATAACTATCTTCAACAAAACTGTAGCGATACAGTTGTTCTGCTTTTAATGTCTTGAAAAGAAAATCAATCAAACAAACAAACAATGATTCTTTAGTAGCCAATGTTTTTCATCATTAAATGGGGGTTTATTTATTTATTTATTTATTGGTTCGATTTATATGCCGCCCTTCTCCGGAGACTCAGGGCAGCTTACAATGCATTAAGCAATAGCCTTCATACTTTTGTATATACCTGCTTAGTAGGATTCTGTGTGGTTCCCCCCCCTCTCTCTTTTTTTTTTCACTAGCTCTCCTTTGCTGCACTCAATCCTGAACTGAGTCAAAACCTGATACAAATGTTCCAGAAACCTGGTTTTCAAATCTGGTGAAACTTTATAGATGGTTATCTTTCAACCGATCATAATTGCATGCACGTTTTAACGATGGCAAAGAGGAAAAAAGCCTGATCACAAACACTTCTTAAAACAGCAGAATTGCTTATAGCAAGTTGGCAAGTTCACAGCAGTGAATTAATCATTGTTAACTGAAGCCCCCCCCCTTTTTTTTTTATTCTACATGGCACACATGAGTATATAACTATCTTCAACAAAACTGTAGCGGTACGGTTGTTTTACTTTGAATGTCTTTAAAATACAAACAAAAAACAAAAAAACAGAAACAAAACCCAAGAAACCCTGACAAACACTCCAACTAAGGATAATAGGTAATAACATATGCACGGACAAACTGCATTTTTTTTTCCCCCAGCGGTATCCGAGTCTGCGTTTTTGGGCATTGCGTCTTGCAAAAAATTGCAGAAACAAGTTGGAAAAACGCATTAGGATGGGCATCAGTGATGAGGACCTAATACAGGGGTGTCAAACTCAATTTCATTGAGGGCTGCATCAGGGTTGTGTTTGATCTCGGAGTGGGGGGGCAGAGGGGGCATGGGGGGGCAGAGGGGGCACATCACCCTTCGGTGGCCCGAGCACTCTGCCAGCAAAAATGGGCTCCCGAACTCCATTTTTCGGCTGCGACAGCCTCCTGCAACTCACTGCCAGAGAAAACGGAGCTTGGGAGGGCCACAGGCAGCCCTCGTGAGCTCCGTTTTCGCTGGCAGAGACACCGGGGGGGGGGGGGTGATCCTTCGCTGTTTTCAGGGCAGCCCCGCGGGCCAGATCTAAACACCCTGTGGGCCGAATTCAGCCCCTGGGCCTTGAGTTTGACTCTCCTGACCTAATACATTCTACATGGACCTAATAATCATTGACTTTGAAATCAGGAGCAGAATTGGGCCCTTTGAAGAATTGCAGTTTGTTTACAATGATGCAACGTTTGTTCAAAAAAAAACAAAAAAAAAAACAACGGATGAGACGAGCATGATTATCAATACTCATTGACTGCAGAATTTGTAAATGTGTCTATAAATCTGGACTAGAAGTAGGATGTAAAAATGGAGAATGGGTGAGCGTGTGTATATGTATGTGTGTGTGCGTTTTTTTTTTTCTCTCTCTCTAACTAAGAATAATCTACTGGGTTTAAAATCTAAAACATCGTCAATGTGTAAATTTCTCGAACTGAATAATTCTACTTCACAGATGTAAATTTTATACACTTCTCTCTTTTTTTTGTATTTTTTAAAACCGGTACAAAGAATTTAACTTTTTTATTACTTTCTTTTTTGTTTTTGTTTTGTTGGTTTTTTTTGGAAAAAACAAAAAAAAAATAGAAACAGTGCTTTATCACCTCTTTTTTTTATTATTTTTATTTTTAATTCTCCCGTAATATAAAAGTTCTGCAATGATATCAATAATTTATTATACTGGAAGAAATATAAAAAAGAATGCTTGTTTATGGTTTAACGAGCAGGTAACTCTCCTTATTTACTTAATTTTATGTTTTAATTTTTTTATATATTTATATATATATATATATATATATATATATTAGGTTTTTTATTTATTTATTTTTTTTGTGTGTGTTTTTTTGTTCTTTTTGCCTAAACAGCTAGTTACGATTGGAGCTAAATGCTGCCTGATGGAATGCATTAAAAGCTTGCCCTTCCATAGCTTTTAATAAGACATTATGTACAGATGTCAGTTCAAGCACCCTTCTTATAACTTTCCCCCCTCCCTCCCCCACCCCAACTCAGAATTAACAACATAACCTTTGGCTTTGAAGAAATAGTGAATAATTTAAGACAGCTGATATAGAATTATAAGGTGCCTTTGGGGGGTCCCCTTTTTTTATAGTTAATTAGGTGGAGCCCCATTTCCACCTTCTTGGTGTTCCTCTCTTTCTTTCTTTCTTTCTTTCTTTCTTTCTTTCTTTCTTTCTTTCTTTCTTTCACTCTCTCTCTCTTTCTCTCTCTCTCCCCCCACACACCCCTTTTGAAAATAAAAATAAATGTCTTATGCAGGAAAAAAAATAAATAAATCATGATATCACATACACTCTTACAAAACAAGTGAGGAATCCCAACAGCGTAATATTCAGCATATATAATTCATTTACATGATATAGAACTTTTGATGGTGCCCCGCCCCTCCCCGGACAAATTCATTTCTAGCAGCTTTCTAGTTCAACCACAATGAAAATCATAATAGTAATAATATTAATTAATACTTAATTAATCAATCAATCAATAATAATAATAATAATAAATACCTTCTACAGCCAGCAAACTATGTAACTTCCGGAAATTAAAAGACCCACAATATTAAAATACACAGAACAAAATATCTGAGGTATAAGATAAAAAATGTAAATATTTTTTTTCTCCTCGTTTTTTTTTTAATGTACTTGTTTTATTTTGTTTTACTTATTTATCTGTTTGTAATTTTTTTTTCTTTTTTAGAGTTGCTAAAATGATGCATTACTGCATGTATTGCCATCCCCAGGCCTCGGAAAGCTTTCATTTGGGTCCCCCATTTGGGGAGGAATTATGGTTTTTTTGTTTGTTTGTTTATTTTTTGTCATTTAGTATGGAGCAAAACGGCTGTATCCCCCTCGGTATATACTAGCCTGCAATGAAGAAAGAACGAGACCGACATCGTCAGCATGGCTTCTGTTCTTGGCATCACTCAGGGGTGTAAAAGCATTCTGAAACAAAGCAATTTGAGGGGTGGGTGTTTTGACTTCCACTTTTTTGCCATCACCAGATCTGCAATTTTTAAATTTTTATATTTTTATATATATATATATATTTTGCTACCTTCTGGGGATTTGGCTCCAACTCTTGGCCACGTGCCATTTTCAAACCGCGCTACAGGTAGTCCTCAACTTACAACCGTTCGAAGTTATAATGGCACTGAAAAAGATGACAGTTTTTTCACACTTAGAACCGTGATCAGCGTCTTCACGAGGTCGCGTGATCAAAATTCAAGATGCTTGGTTCATGTTTAGGACGGACACCGTGTTCCGGGGTTGTGGGATTCCCCTTTTATTGTGTGACCTTCTGACAAGCAAAATCAAGCGGGGAAGCCAGATTCCCTTAACAACCGTGTTACCAACCGAACAATTGAGGTGATTCACTTAGCAACGGTGGCTAAGGTCGCGAAATGGGGCAAAACTCACTGAACGATTGTTCCGCTTAGCAACAGAAATGTTGGTTCGGATGTAAATTGAGGACTACCTGTATCCAAATTGTGTCAGCGGTGGGTCTCCCGATGAATCATCATCAGCCCAAACAAGGATTCATGACCTGATTAACTAATGAACTGACGCTGATTCATCAAATGGATTCCATTCATTTTGTGTCTCAAATGGTCCAAACTCCACCCTTGATGCTATTTTTTTTTTAATGTAGAAATCTGCAGAATTCATTCTTCATTAACAAGCAAGGATACCAATAGCAACTACACAACGACAGTGGGACCATCTCTTGGTGACAGGAAGGTTTAGGACAGAGCAGGTGAGATCTCAGCAGAGGGATATGGCACTTAGGGTCATTGGCGAGTGTTTAGTTCAACGTTTCTCAACCGTGGCAACTTGAAGGCCCATGAACTTCAACTCCCAGAATTCCCCAGCCAGCTATGGAATTCTGGGAGTTAAATCCACACGGCTTAAAATCACCCAAGGTGATTTAGCTGGTGAACCTTTGTTCTCATTCATTAGAAAGTCAAAATCCCATCTCCTATTTTTTACAGGCCTTTGTAAAACCCACAAAGGGAAAATGCATTCACGTGTGTGTGTGTGGGGGGGGGGTTTCCTCATGGACTGTTCTACTGACAACATTTTTTGGGGAATAGAGAAGTCAATCTCTTCATAAATCTGTTGATCAAGTTTTGTTTTAATAATCCAACACTGATGGCATTAACAAGAAAAATCAAATGGACCTATAAATAATATTTCTTTATTTTTATTTATGTAAACACTTGTATTCTGCCTTCCGAGTCTGTCCTACCATCTTTCACTTCTTGCGCCCAACGCACGTTGATACATTCATTTTTCTTTCTCTGGTGGCACCATTAAAATGCCCTTCATCCGTAATTAACATTTTACGGGTACTGTTGAGTCTTTTTTTTATTTTATTTTTTTCGGCTGAAAAGTGCTGTGCAAAATTCAAATAAATGTCCCATTGGCCTGGCCATTGTTGTAATATTTCAGTTGGCGCAGATCAGCTCATTTCTCTTAGAAATGCAAACTGAACAAAATCTGTGAGGATCACTAAATGGGCTGCAGGAAAAAAAAGTGTGAGATTACTTGAGCCGTTAACGCACCAAAAGCTGCTTTTCTATACATGTGCTGCCCTCTGTTACAATCAATCAATGACACAAAACAACAGTTTTCTGGGTATCACTCTTAACTTTGGTCTCGTAGCCTCCCTGACTAAAATGGCTTCCGGCTGAGGGGGTTGAGACTAAAACCTACCAGATGAGGGTTTCCCTCATCTTCAGAAGTCTGATAGGGTGTATCTTGTCGATCTCTCTCTCTCATGTTTATTAATTAAATTTATATCTTGTGTCCCCTGAAGAAGCTCGTGATGGTTTACCTGGGATCATTTCCCCTTATCCCAGCCATTCTGTGAGCTATCTTGGTCTCAAGAGAAGCTCTACCTCACAGATCTTTCACTTATGGGGTTGCTTGGGTCGCATTGAGTGAAGATGCCACATATAAATATATGTTTTGAGCCACATATAAATATATTATAGTTAATCACATAATAACGTCAAAAGTTTATGATACGGTGGGATCGCATTATTAGCTGTTTAAGGCCACATTCGTCCCACAGTTCAAGGGCTGGACGCACTTGGTCTAGGCCAAAGTTAGTCTCCAGATTCTACCTTTGGGGGACAATCAAACAATGTTTGCACAACATTGCTTGGTGGTGGTGGTTTTTTTAAACCATGGTTAGGTCTCTCCCTCATTTTAGGCCAGCATGAAAGCAACCTGAAAAATGGCAAAAACCAGCCAAAAAACAGGCATGTGCACCAGTGGTGGGTTTCAATTTTTTTTACTACCAGTTCTGTGGGCATTGCTTGGTAGGCTTGGCATGGCTTGGTGGGCGTGGCTTGGTGGGTGTGGCAGGGGAAGGATGCTACAAAATCCCCATTTCCTCCTGATCAGCTGGGACTTGGGAGGCAGAGAATAGATGGGGGCGGGGCCAGTTAGAATTTTTACTACCGGTTCTCTGAACTACTCAAAATTTCAGCTACCGGTTCTCCAGAACTGGTCAGAATCTGCTGAAACCCACCTCTGATGTGCGTGCTGGCCAGCTGGTCTTTGGGTTTCCAGCACTCCAGTGCACGCACATGCATGCGCATGCATGCACAGTTTGGGCAATTGGTGCCGAAAAGGTGCCATCACTTGTCTAGGGTCATTCCATGGTTGGGCTCCCCTGGTTAAACGTGGCCTTGAACTAGAGTTTTAACCCAAACTTTGACCTAACCGTTCTGCCTCCATGAAACAGGTACACATTCATAAGGAGTCACTGCCACTCAAACACATGGGTGGGGCCCTCAAAGATTTCCCCAAAGTGATATCAAATTGCAATATGAAATGTGATTCAGATATTGTTCTTTATATATATAGATATATACCGTGTTTCCCCGGAAATAAGACCCTGTCTTATATTTTTTTTAACCCCGAAATAAGTGCTTGGACTTATTTTTGGGGATGTCTTATTATTTTGGGGTGCGTGGAGCAAGATGGAGCTCCTCTTGCCGTCTTACCTGATTTCCAGCTCTGTCTCCCTAACCCTAACCAGAGGAAATGGCAGGGACTGGCAGCACATGCGTTTAAATATTTTCAGGAAGGGCTTATTTTTGGGGAAGGGCATGCGCGTAAAAGCCCGATTGGGCTTATTATCAGGGGATGTCTTATTTTAGGGGAAACATGGTATATTTTCACTCCCATCAAAAGCCAATAAAATGTAAATCATGGTTTATTTTTACCCTGGCCTGACTTCTATTTTGGTGACTGTGCCTCCCCCCACCCCACCCCAACATCCAACTCAAAATGTTCAATTGGAGCATCCGGCCCAGAAAAAAAAATTGTTGTGCTCCAGCTCTGTAGACCACTTAAATCTACAAATGAATCAATAAACAATTCATTTGTTTGTTTGTGATATTCCTATGCTGCTGACTCAGGACCATGGCAAAGCCTGGGGAAAAATTCTTACAGGATCCAATCTGGGTCAGTCACCAGGGCTAGAGGTTTAGTCTTCCAAGCTTTCGGACTTGTGCTGGAGTCCATCCTTAGGGAACTTCTCTCTACTGGAATGTGTGCTTTGGGCTATTCTGTGTGTGGTATTTATATGGTGCCTGCTTTATGTGGCTTTTTAGATATTGATTGGGGTGTTGATGACTGGCTATTAAGTCGCTGGCTGTTGTTTCCTTGTACTGCCAAGCCTTCACCTCCTAAGTACTTGTTAAGCTGGTGGTAAATCAACACTCTTGTTGACCAAAGAGGGCCCCATTTCCCAGCCTTCAATCACTTCCCTGACTGTTTTTATGACTGCTCGTCCAACAATCTTAGTAGCAGTAGACCAAACTTCTAGTCCCAGTGGCCGACCCAGATTGGATTATTCTACATTATCCTGGGACACGTATATTCGCCTTCATTTGTGAGAAATTCTTACACTGTTTGTAGAGGGTGTAGACAAGCTGAGCCATACTTGGTCTCAGAAGTCAACTGGACTTCGCTTCCTGGCATGAGTTGCTGACTTTCGACCTGCCCAACTTGGCTATAGCTTGTTGATTCACCAACCTCACCGACTGTACATTAGTTAGATGATCTTGTACAGATTGCGTATGAATGCAACTGTAGATGCAAGAGCCAGCTTGCAGCATGGATCAAGGATTTACTTGCAGCCCTGCCAACAAGTAAGTCTTGGTTTGTGGCAAAATTACTACTGAAGTTTACTAGCAAGGCAGTTGGATGTTATACTGCAAGGCAGACTGTTTCAGCGTGTCCTGATTTTACATCCATGTATGTACTACATGTGCTTTTATATATGTGAGTGTATGCGTGTTTATGTATGTATACTATACTATATATGTGTGCGTGTGTGTGCTAATACTATATATATACATACATATACAGTGTAATTGGTGCAGAGAATGTATTGTTGCAGGATAGATGGCTAGATGAGTGGATGGATGGATGGATGAAGTGACAGATAGATGTCTTATTCCTACGGGGCAGCTGCTCCCTCTTTAGGCTCATATGAAGGGGGGGGGAAGCTGATTTAATGAAGAGCAGTGAGACACAGTGCATGAGAGAGAGGTATGAACTGCTTCGGAATCATTTGTGAACTGTGCATAGTCCTAGGAATAAATGCTTTTGGGTCTACAGTACGTATTGCCCAAGTCTCTTAGGGGCACCTGGGGGCTCAGATTTCTGCCACGGAGCTCCATCAGTAGCTTTAGAGGTATCCCTTTCTCCGTTGGCAAACGGGAAGCCACTTTGCGCACAGAGCTTTGGGTTCAAAAGCTTCACTGTGAACCAAAGAGAGGCCTCCCCATCGCTGGCATCTGCCAGTCAAAATGATGAAAGCAGTGTCCTGGCGCTGGCTACACAGCTGTGAACCTTGGGCCTGATGCTGCTTTGATCATTTGGATGAAAGCAGCTGGAGTTTGAAGGTGCTCATATTTCACATGGTATGTGGTGCTCCTTCTCCTGCATAGAGATGTTCCTTGAACAGAAAAAAAAATAATAAAAAAAAAATGGTGGGATAGGTTAATTATGGAGCTCTGGATTATGTCTGCTGGTCCTCTGAATTTAGTGGCCTTTGGTTGCTTGCTGAACCTTAGGAATACGGTCTTATTTCTGCAAACTTTTCTTGGAACGGGCAGCGCAGGAGGGGCGTTTTTAGAAACTTCCTTTATCCAATAATTTTATAAGACTTTACTACAATGACGCTACCTAAAGCTGTAGCAGAATTGGGATGCATGAAGTCTAAGTGGGCGACAGCTCAGTAATTAGATGCAGAAATGTAAATTGTAAAGAATTAGTAGGTTTTTAAGAAGCGATTGAATAACCGTTGGTCTGAAATGGTACCCTGTTTTCCCCAAAATAAGACATCCCCTGATAATAAGCCCAATTGGGCTTTTGAGCGCATGCCAATAAGGCCAAGCATTTATTTCAGGCTTCAAAAAAATTTAAGACAGGGTTTTATTTTCGGGGAAACACGGAAATAAAGCAGTTTTCTAGTCCAACCTCTTGAGCAGGAGGTTGGACTAGAAAACCTACGAAGTCCCTTCCAACTCTGTTATTCTGGTTTTCTGTGGTGGCGCAGTGGTTAGAATGCAGTACTGCAGGCTACTTCTGCTGACAGTTTGATCCTGACCGGCTCAAGGTTGACTCAGCCTTCCATCCTTTCAAGGTCGGTAAAATGAGGACCCAGATTGTTGGGGAGCAATATGCTGATTCTGTAAACTGCTTAGAGAGGGCTGTAAAAGCATTGTGAAGCGGTATATAAGACTAAGGGCTATTGCTATTGCTATACCAGGCTAAGCTATTCACTACATTTTATAAATGGATGAGATATTTTCAAGAGTAGTCTTCTCTTGAAAACCAGTTTACAGAAATGAATTTATTAAAAAAAAAATTTTTTTCTTCCAAAGAGACAAGACCACAAATTGATTGATCAATGGGACCAAATAATTTACTCAAACTCAGTGGGTAAAATGAAAATCTGAGGAAAATATAAGTCAACAGTTATGAATACACACACACACATACACACACTCTGATGTTTAAAAAAACATTTTGCAATTTTGTCTACCGATTGCTAATTTTTTTAAAAAAATCTCAATAAATTGAAAAAGAAAGAGGTCCTTAGCGAATTCATTTTTTTTTAGATTGCTTAACAACTACAACACTCGTTTTTCATCTCCTTGGCTTGCTTGCTCTCAATCGCAACTAATTTTGGGGATAGCAGTCAAAAGATCTGTTTGTTAACAATTCAGAACATTTTAAACATGTTTCTTTTGCCAAAAAGTGGGCTGTTCCTGAGAAGAAAAGATGTTGGAGATGTGGATCACTGGAAGTTTAATTTCTCACAAAGATGTCTATTTCCAAATTAAAGAAAAAGGGGCTTAATAAGAACTTTCCATCACTTTGTGATTCATTTTTTTTTTTCATTTCAAGCCTGTTGGAAAAGATGCTTTCCCCATTTTTGTCCTTCCAAATCACTTAAAAGCCAGCCCTCGTTGGGTGACAAGTTTTTTCCC